TCCAGCCGTGTCCAAGGCTTCTGTTGGCGGTCAGGGCAGCGTCTTGGCCCACGGGCCAGGCTGCCTCCTCCAGGCAGTGGGTGTGTGAGGTGAACAACAGCTGTTTAGAAAGCCAGCTGGCGCACACGCATGCGCACACCATGAGCACGCGTGCTTGGGAGCAGGAGACCTGAGGGCCGCACCTCAGCTCTGCAGCCTTCAGGCTGTGTGGCCTTACCTCTCCGAGCTTCGATTTTCTCATCTGAAAAATGGGGACCATCGCATCCCAGAGAACCGAAGCTGGGCAGAGGTCAGGGCGGGCATGTGCCTCGTTTGACCTTGGATCTGGCCCAGCGCAGACCTGAGCTCAGGAGTCTCAGTTCAATGAGTGCTTTCGGATACTCAGCACGGTGCCCAGCACCCGCTCACTGCTCAGCAGAGGCCATCATCACCCCGTGCATCCTCTGGGTGCGGAGAGACCTCCGAAACCTAACGGTGGCTGTCTGGGCAGTGGCAGCAAGGTTACACTCACTTCCGTCCCTGAGCTCATGTAGGGGCAGTTCCTGTTCTGGGCGCCGGCACCAGCTGCCCCCACCCCCCATGCTGATCCTTCTGCTGCCGCGTGGGGGAGAGGGACCCCGTCCCCAGCAGCACAGCTGCCCCCCAGGTGATGGTGGTGCACGGTGGCGGGCTCCAGGGTGAACGTGAAATCTAACAGGCCAACAGGACAGGGAGAGACGTTTTCTGGGGCCTTCTCTGGCTTACAGCCCCATGGCTCTGCTCTCGGGGCCGCCTGCGTGTCGGCCTTCACGCACCGTCCCCACCCCTCGGGAGGAGACCTGCGCATTCAGCTACGACCCATCCCCACGTACGCCCAAATCACAGCCGCAAAGACTCTACTTCCACATCAGGCCATGGTCACAGGCACCAGGGGCGAGCGCTGCAGCACAGCTTTCTGGGGGGAGGGGGCACGGTTTACCCCACAGCAGGCGAGTCAGAGCTGGCTACGGGCGGGGGGCAGGTTCAGTGAGCACCCACCGTCCCAGGGGCACCCCCCCGACACTGCTACAGCACAGGCTCGGTGAATCCAGCCTGTCACTGAAGCCTTCAGTTCGGCGACTGTCCCCAGGTGCCCACGCCCCTGGCCTCTTGCTCTGGAACAGCGCAAACAAGGTCACGGTCAGGAATCACCCAAGACGTAACCTCTAGCCCTGCCCCCCAAGGCCCTGAAGAGACAAGGCCAAAGTGCTTTCTCTACAGGGGTCCCCGAGGGAGAGAGGGAGAGGGACAGCCAGGCAAGCACCTTGATGCTGGGCAGGGGATGGGCCTTAATCAGCCACAAAGAAGAGAGTCGGGAGTGAACTTCCTATTTGACAATTAATCTGCAAAGCCCAGCGGGGCCACTTAGTCAACTGCCCCTTTTGTGCCCGGCCCTCAACTGTGGGGCTCGTTTTCCTGCGTGTAAATGACCACGTGCCATGCCCACTTTTCTCTGGTCACAACTGTCCTCGCTTGGCAACTTGACTTCCCGGAGTCAGAGACCGCTGCCCACTTCACTCAGGCCTGGGACTGAGGCAGGAGTCAGGAGGACCTCACGGGGTAGGTAGGTTTTGGTCATTTCCACGTCACATTGCTGTTCGCAGAGGGGGAGAGACTCACAAAGCGGTGGGATGAAGGGCACCTCCTCGAGGAAGCCTTCCCTGCCTACCTTCCCATTCCCGTATACTGAACACCCCCACCCCACCGACAGGCTCCCTGTCTCCGAATCCAAATCACCCCAGGGGTGAGAAAAAGTGAGGTGAATGGGACGGAAGTAAGAGTGGCCTCTCTCAGGGCGGGTCTGGCCTGTAAGCAGACATGGCCCTAGGTCCCAATTACTCACATTCCAGAATTCGGTGAAGCAGCTCCAGGTGGAAGGCCTTCTCCTCCCCCCAGCCCGAGGTCAGCACTCTCTCCCAGCAGCCATGGGGGGCGGCTGCTACCAGCTGACTGGTGTCCCCAGAATTTCCAATGTTGACGTCCTGACCCCCAACACCTCACAGGGGTCTGTATCTGGAAATGGGCCTTCACAGAGATGATTAAGGTGACATGGGGTCACCAGGGGGAGGGAGCCTGATCCCATGTGACTGGGGTCCTTGTGAGAAGAGGGATCAGGACACAGACTCGCACGGAGGGATGACCCCGTAAGGACACAGGGAGAGGGCAGCCGTCCACACACAGGAGAGAGGCCTCAGGGGCCCCCAGCCCTGTCCCCGCCTGGACCTCGGGCTCCAACCCCCAGGATGGGGTGGGGGTGGGGACAGTACATGTTGGGTGAGCCTCGGTGTCTGTTATGGTGGCCCAAGGGGACTAACAGTGGCACAAAACATGCTGGGGGTTTCCAACAGGAAGCAGTGAGCAGGCCAAAGCCTTGGGGAAACAATGAGCCCATCGGAAAGGAACGAGACCTGAGCCGAACAGCTCCCAAACTCAAGGCCAACGTGGACAAAGATTAACATCCGAGAGAACGAGGTGACCAGGACAGGGTCGGATGGGACAGGGGAGCACAAGCAGACACCCTGCCTGCAAACGGAAACCCAACCCCAGCAGCCTTGAACTCCGGGACGTGCATCGGCTCGCGTACCATGAAGTCCATACGCAAAGCAGCTCCAGGGCTGGCAGGCAGCTGCTCGGTGCCACGAGGGCCGGGTCCTCGCCAGCCCTCTGCCACGCCGGGCCCAGGTGTGGTATCGTCCGTGGCTGAGAGCAAGTCTCCCACAGTGACCACAGGGGACAACTTCCAAAACAGACACGCTCTCTCTGGAGGGCCCACCACCTTTCCCAGAAGCCCCCAGAAGACGTCCACTCCCATCTCCTCGGCCAAGGGGGCGCACACCTGAACCGGTCACTGCAGATGGCATCACCCAGCACGGGGCAGAGGCGTCAGGTGGCCTGAGTGTGTCATAATCGAGGTCTGTCGGAGGTGACCAAGGGGGCCTAGACAGCGGGTCTCGCAGTCTGGGAAGGAGCGAGGCAGACACAGGGGGGGCCCAGGGTCCGGAGCCTCTGAAGGAGATCGGGGAGGCGGCTCGGGCTCCCGTGACGGAGAGGAGGGAGGAAGCGGCTGCTGGTGGCTCACTCGAACCTGCAGCGGGACAGGCTGACGCGGAGGAGGACCCAGGGGGAGTCCGGGGCAGGAGGGCTCAGTCATACCTGCTGACAGGGGCCGGGGCGCCGGGAAGTGACCCTTCCCTGAACATCGGGGCACCATTCTGTCCCAAGAACCACCTCTACCTGTTCCGATAAGACGTGTGGGCAGAGACGCGATGGAATGTGGGCCCAGGGCTGCCTGCGGACCCCAAATACTGTGACCGAATGAACTCGCCAGACATCACAGTATAAACGGTACCAGACACCTTCTGCTTCACAGCCTATTTATTCTTCTCTCCGCTGGTAACAGTAACACGTGACCAAAACAGAGACCCCAGGAAATCACCAGTCACCAGGGGAAACCACCCCAGCCCCCATCCCACCAGACAGGGGTGTGCCGGGTCTGTGGCCGCAGGCCCCGCGTGAGGTGGCACACAAGCACAGAGCGCCCCGGGACCCGGCTGGGACCGTGACGAGGGAGGGACATGCATGGCGACACGCCCGCCTGTGACCTTGGGATGGGCGCGAGCCCAGGTGTCCGTCTCCACCAGCTGAAGCCACTTCTAAGGGCAACCACACTCGAGGGAAGGAAATACCCGGCCCACAGCTCCTTTGGGAACGCAAGCCTGGGTCTCCAGCAGCCTCTCGGGACCCCCAGCCAGGGCCATGGCAGCCACCGCTGAGACGCTCTGGGACGTATTTAAAAACTGGAATGAGGGCGCCTGGGTGACCCAGTTGGTTAAACGTCCGACTTCAGCTCAGGTCATGATCTTGCAGTTTGTGAGTTCGAGCCCTGCATCAGGCTCTGTGCTGACAGCTCAGAGCCCGCAGCTGCTTCGAATTCTGTGTCTCCCTTGCTCTCTGCCCCTCCCCCACTCACACTGTCTCTCTCCCCTTCAAAAATAAGCATTAAAAAAAAAAACTGGGACAATTCAGTTAACACTTGGTAACATCACGTGTTACTTTCGGCTGCGCTTCTGTGGGTGCCCCCCCCCAGGGTGTGCAGACGCACGGGCTGAGGGACGCCCAGGACACCCGGTCTCCTGTTCCCAGTACCCCGGACTCCCCGTGCACCAGGTGCCCGCCAGGTACAGGCAGAGAGAGAGGAAACTCGCATGACAGGAAACACGCGGCCCTTCAACATAAGGCCCCCAAACTCTGCGTACCCAACAGAGGCCTAACATTTAGTCCTGAGCTTTAAGTCTCCTCCTCCTCCACCAGGTTCGATACTGCGAAGCCCCACCCCCATCTGGAGAGACACCGTGTCAAGAGTGTGTCCAGGCCCCCGGGGACCCCCCTCAGCCAGCCACGGTGGACTGCCCAGCGGGGACCGGGCACGCGGGGCCTGAGGGCAGCGACCGCGCATTCCATTGTAGATGGCACAGGACGGTGGGGATGGGCGGGCGATGCCCTTGGACCAGGCAGTCCCCGCGGGTCTCGGTCTCCTCATCCGTAAAGTGGGAACACTGAAGGGATTAAACAGAACAGGGAAGCACAGCACGGGCACATCTCAGGGGACAACAAACGTCCGCATCCTCGGCTTCCTGCCACCAACCTCCGTCAGGCCAGCCCTGGCGCTCTCGGGTGTTAAAAACCTGTTCTGAGCGCTGAATCCAGGCTCAATGGTAGCCAGGGCCACCCCCAGTCTAGAAGCGGCCGGGCCTGCCCACTGGATGGGGGGCTCTGCACCCCAAGTGAGCAGCCTCCCAGAGGCCGGCAGGGACCCGCTGGGACCGAAAAACAGACAGGGCCCGACAAAGGCCAGGCCCGTGTGGAGGGGCCGCGGGGGGGGGGTGGGGACACGGAGGCGACACGGGCGGCCCCCAGGGAGAAGGAAGCCCTTTCGCCAGCCGAACTGGACCCCTCCCCACAGAACAATGAATACTCCATCATTGTTTTGCTTTGAATCCCATTTTTAAACACTTCACATATGGACATCTGTTCCTCGGTGTTTCGTCTTTGTTCATCTGTCATCCTCAAAATGAGAGTCCCGAACCTTCCACACTAATTTTAAAGTCCGGCTGAACATTGAGTAGTGAACAAAGCTGAAAATACAAAAGAAAGAGGATGTAGGTTTTAAAACCTTACGTATCTTCATTCACAAATCAGAACAGAACTTCCTACCTGCGGCTTCCCGAGTCTGTGACCCCACCCCCTAAGGATGCGCCAATGCGGTCAGCACCTTCTAGATGCAGAAATGCCTGTGCGCAGGGCGCACGCAGCCCCCCGACCACGAGCGACAGGAGCCCCAAGACCGAACCAGAGAGAGACGTGCAGGGACACACCTGTCTAAATTTCGCCCTGATCCTGTCCAGGTCTTCGTGAAGTCTGTCGTAAGTAGGGTCGTCGTAAGGGAACTTCTGAATCATCCCAATCAACGACTCTAAGGCCTTCATCTTCTTGCTGTGAAGCACAGAAATCAAGACTTTCAGTCCCTTGCACGTAACCGGCTCACATAACAACCGCACCGTCATGGACTTGAAAGCAGTGGGCGAAAGCGGGTCTGGGTCCAGAATCCACATGCTTAATCTTCTCTCCACACTTGATGATATCTGTTTGCCCAGCAACGTGCTCTCGCCCATAGCCGCGCTCGCCATCGGCGTGCATGGTGCTCACAGAGAGACCTGTCTCCCAGCCGGGCAGCAAGTGGCCACCGCCGAGCGCAGTGACCATGGTGTCTCTAGGTCACAGGCCCGGGAAGAGACGAAACCGGGCACGAAGAGAGTGCTGGGGCATGACCCCAGACACGTTCACGCTCATGGCCTTGGGACTTGGGCGGCAGGTAAACCGGCAACCCCCCCCCCCCAACAAAGGGTGGGATCAGGGCCTGGTGCCAGGTTCGGTCCCCTCTCCCGGGGAGACAGGGCTGCTCTGGGGCATGGGGCTGTGTGACATCTCCCAGCCTCAGTGTCCCCATAGGACCTAATGGCCACCTCCCAGGCTTTCAAGAGGATAAGAAATCTCCGTAAAGCTCAGAACCCGGTATGGAGTTGAGAGTGCTAGGCTCAGCAAGAGTTAGGTCTCCGGGCTGGCACCCATGCCTAGCCCGCGCAGGACCCCCCAAGTGTCAGAGCACGCTACGCATCTGATAAACGGGGACCCACAGACCTTATTCTTGGGATGAATCCACAACGACTCAAAGTGACCGACACCCCAAGTCCGCTGTGACTGCTGCTTCCAGCTGCGTGAGGACGTCTGCCGACAGTACGTCCGTCTACAGGGCAAACGGCGGCCTCTGAGACGACACACACCCGTAAGAGGTCAAGGGCAGGGAAGATAAAGCAACGAAGTGCTTGGTTTCCAGGGCGATGGAAGGCAGATGCCAACATACAGGACGCGGCTGTATTCTACCGTTACCACCATCCAGTTTTAACCTGGGAAGTGGCATCTTCTCCGCTGGTCAGCGAAGCTCCTCGAAACACACCCTGCCCGTCACACCGTCAGAGTCAGAGGCTGTGACCCGCTCCCGCAGCCAGAGCGACGAGGGCGCCAGAGCCCCAGGGCCAAGCCCTGGCCGAACGCCAGCCTGCATGGGGTCTCCCTGGGCCGCTGAGCTGGGACAGAGGCGCCTCAGAGGCTCTCAGAAAGCTACCGTCATCTGAGACACTGCCACCCATGGGTCCTTTGCTGTTAAACCCACTTACTTTATGAGCTAAGCGTCCAACTTCACCTCAGGTCCCAGACTCCCAGTTTGTGGGATCAAGCCCCACGTCAGGCTCTGTGCTGACAGCTTAAAGCCTGGAGCTGCTTTGCATTCTCTCTCTCTCTCTTTCCCTCCCCCTCATGCTCTCTCTTTCAAAAATAAATAAAACTTTTTTTTTTTAAGTTTTTTAATTGTACTGACATCAAAATGCAAAATCCTGGGAGGGCGCCTGGGTGGCTCGGTCAGCTAAGCATCTGACTTCAGCTCAAGTTATGGTCTTGCGGTTCATGGATTCAAGCCCCACGTCGGGTGGACAGCTCAGAGCCTGGAGCTGCTTCCGATTCTGTCTCCCTCTCTGTCCCTCCCCCACTCACGCTGTTTCTCTCTCTCTCTCTCTCTCAAAGATAAACATTTTAAAAAATGCTTTTTTTAATGCAAACTCCTGCGAACCCCCGCTGGGTGAGCAGGGCTGTAGGTTTCAGGCTGTGCTGGCACAGCAGGGGCGGCAGCGAGGGGGCCGCAGGGCCTTCTCCCGAGATGGGTCGTGAGCACAGCTGTAAGAAATCAGGGGCGCCTGGCTGGCTCAGTGGATTAAGCGTCTCACTCTCAATTTCAGCTCAGGTCATGATCTCGCAGTTCATGAGTTCGAGCCCCGCGTCAGCCTCTGCGCTGATAGTGCAGAGCCTGCTCGAGATTCTGCTTCTCTCCCTCTCTCTGCCCCTTGCCTCCATGCACAGGCTGAATCTGTCTCTCAAAATAAATAAATAAACTTTAAGAAAAGAAAAAGGAAAGGATTAGGGAGCCCCCCACTCGGGGGCGGGAGCCGGCAGGCATGGGAGCTGGGGAGAAGGGGAGACTGACGGAGTGGACCGGATGCAGAGCCGAGCTCACCGGGACTGCCACCCGAGTGCCACCACGCACTAAGCACTCCCCCCACCGCCCCGCAGTCCTCCGAGGACCATGCCCTGCGAGGTGTCCCCGGCTGACGGCACATCTGGTACCCCCTGCCTGGTCCCTCGCTACTCATGGGACTCGATGGGGCCAGAGCAGGGGGTCCTGGCACCACCCAGCAGCCGCCAGCACCCGCTCCTCACATCCCAACATAGAGGCGGCCCCAATTCCAAAAATTCACAATACTTCAAGTAAGACGAGTCACTCAGACAGGGGACTGCCACCTTCCCTACTCTGTCAGCCACTGTTCGGGCCCCTCCCAGGCCAGGCGAAGCCACCAGACAGACACCAGCAAGACACAGGGTCCCTGAGCAGAAGGACGGCCCGACCACACGTGCCTTTTGCCCACGGGCTCATTTCCAGCCTAAGACTGAAGACAGATGCACGTCGGGGCCGTGGGGGCATCGGGAGGCAGTGCAGTAGGGAGTTTAACGACAGTGTGAACGATACACAAAAGAGCTAATGGTGACTCGGTGCCCCAAGTACCAGACTTCGTCCAACGTGCTCTGCGCCTTATTGCGCGATCACACCGTGGCTGCGTCAGGACTCAGCCCCCGTTCCCGGGCCCCCGTCATGCCAGGACCACTGTACTGGGCTTACTAGAAACTCAGGGAAACACGAACAAGAAGACAGGATCAACCGGAACAGTATCTCACTGAGAGGGCGAGGCGGAGGGCGCCGAGAACCTTCGGGAGGTGATGACCAGCGCGCCGCGGTCACCGAAAACCCTCTTCACTGTCTCCTGTAACCACCCTAACAATGTTCAAGTCTCGCCTGACGACTTTCTCCACCTTAGAGACGCAGAAACGGACGCACGAACCGCCTAAAGTCACGTGAGCCACGGAACCACAACTCCTGGCCCACGTGCTGAGAGAGGGAAATTTTCCACGTTACCTGTCTTTCTCGGTGGCACAGCCGCGCAGGAGACACCTCCAGGCGAAAGCAAACCCTTGGTAGCACCCAATCTGTGAATTTACAAAACATTTAAGAGGGAAGTTAATAAGCGGCCAGCCACCCCTGATCTAACCTTCAGGCTCTCAAAGTAAAGGTGGGCACGGAGGGCAGCGGTGCCTCTCGCGCTGCAGTCCCGGAAACCCCTGCCGGGCTCCCCACGACGAAGGCAACAGGCCATCAGTGAGCGGCAGCCTGGCAAGAAGGCCCACGGGCCCCGCCGCCGGGCAGCACGCACCCCGTGGCCCCTCTAACCGCAGCAGGCTGGCCCCGCAGCCAGGAGAACGCGGAAGAGCGGGCAGCGCACGGCTTCTGAATTCAGGCATGATGCACAGCGTCGCCTCTGCCCTGCTGTCTTGGATGGCGCGCAGGTGTCACGAGGACACGCAGGCAGCCCACGGAGAGACCCAGGTGGCCAAGCCCTCACGTGGCTGCAGGCCTGGCCGGTCCCGACCCCAGCGCCACGCGGCCCGGAGGAAGCAGCACCCAGTGCCGTGGCTCTGGGACTCCGGACCTCAGACTGCATGTGACTTGACGAGCTGACGAGCGGCAGCACCACACCGCTTGCGGTGATTCGCTTTGCCGTGACAGGTATCTGATGCCACTGGCTTTGCCATTTAGAGCCGGTCACCCCCCACGATGGGCAGAAGAGAAGGGAAGCCGTGGGCTTCGCAGACTTCCAAGGGGATGGAAACGGAATGTTGTCATAGGACACAGGGAAGGGCAGGCAGCCCTGCGACACTCCGGCGTAAACGGAGGGGACCGAGGACCTGTGTCCTCCTGCCCCAGACCGCACGGTTTCATCCCCGTTATGCAGGCACAGCCCAGACTCGGCTCCAGACCCCGCAACGCACTCGGGTTTCCCAGCGCGTGGAAGAGTTAGGTGTACAGCACCCTGGACCGAACTACGTGCGCAATCGCCTTGTCTTAAAAAAACAACGTACGCACACCATTTAAAAACACTTCATTGCTGAAAAACGCTAACCAGCACCTGAGCGTTCAGCAATCACAATCACTGACCACAGGCCACCAAAACAACAATAATAATGATAAAACGCTGTGAGGGGTGTCTGGTGGCTCAGTCGGTTGAGCGTCTGACCCTTGATCTCGGCTCGGGTCATGACCTCAGTCTTGTGAGTTCGAGTCCAACGTCGGGCTCCGCGCTGATAGTACGGAGACAGCCTGGAATTCTCTCTCTCCCTCTCTCTGTTCCTCCCCAACTCACACTGTCTCTGATAAATGGGTAAACATTTAAAAAAATTTTTTTTTTTTAAATAATGAAAAGCTTTGAAACGTTGCAGGAACTACCAAAGGGAGACACGGAGACACGGAGTGAGCCACAGGCTTGCCCGGCCCGGGGCTGTCACAGAACTTCACCTGCGGAGCCGGAGGACACGAGGCGGCCTGCCCGGCATGGCGAGGTGCCCGCTCAGGCTCTACCGCGAACGGCTCTCCGTCCACGCTGTCCAGACCACTGCCGCTTGAAGAGGCCTGACGCTCTGGCTCCACCAGCCTGACCATCACAGCAAGTCAGGGGCTAAATGAAAAAGATTCATTTCGAAACAGCGCGTTCCCTCTTACCTCAGATCCAATCTTGGCTCCGTGTAACGTGCCATATTGTCTTCCTTCAATCATACCCAAGCCGCTGCCATCTTCGTAGCCTTCCTGGTAGCCTTCCCCATGGAACCTGGGACGGAGAAGCAAGCCTGGTCAAAGAAACGGGAAGAGGACTGTTTCTCCTGGAAAAATTCTCTCCCACGTGACCCCGACTTGACAAGACACAATGTAGGAGAGACGATATCATTTTTAAGTCAGAAAACTTAGGTTCCAGGGGCGCATGGCTAGCTCAGTAGGTTAGCCATCTGCCTCTTGATTTCAGCTCAGCACATCGGCTCACTTTCTCGAGTTCGAGCCCTGAGCTGGGCTTCACACTGACAGCACAGAGCCTGCTTGAGATTTTCTCTCTCTCCCTCTCTCTGCCCTTCCCCTGCTCACTCTCTCTCAAAATAAATAAATGTTTAAAAAAGAAAGAAAATAAAAGAAAAAAGAAAAAGTTTAAAATATTTAAAAAAAGATGACTTAGGTTACAATCCCAGCCTTACCCCTTCCTCAGTATCTTGCTGCCAAGTCACCACCCCTCTTGAAACCCAATTTGCCTCTTCTACGTGGAGGGGGGTGGGTGGGTAAATCTGTGATTCCCAAACCTGGTAAGATACCAGATACACAGGAAAAAAATTTTTTTAATGTTTATCTATTTACTTATATATTCACTTATCTATTTATCTATCTATCCACCTACCTATTTATTTTGAGAGAGAGACAGAGTGGGAGCAGGGGAGGGGCAGAGAGAGAGGGAGACAGAATCCGAAGTAGCTCCAGGCTCAGCTGTCAGCACAAAGCCCGATGCGGGGCTCGAACTCCATGAGCCGTGAGATCATGACCTGAACCCAAGTTCAGACGCTCAATGCCCAATCCACTGAGCCACCCAGGGGCCCCCAGAGGGAATTTTTAAAGATACAAATTCAAAAGCCTTGCCCCCTGACAGGTGGTAAATCTGGAGCAAGGCCCAGGAATCTACTGTTCTGAAACCTCCAGGTGTCTGCAGGCTGCAGCCAGGTTAGTTCTGCGGGTCTGTAAACTACGCTACTCGGTCAGTTGCTTCGAATCCCCCTACAACATACACGGGGCTTCCCGTCACCCGCCAGGACCCTGGGAGAGAGAAGTGCCATCAGACCACACAATATGCCGCCGGGGCAGTGGTGCTTCGATTACAGCAAAGGCCCGGCCTGCGAGGGCTCAACAGCGCAAGTGACACCGTCTTAACCCGCAATCGCTAAAAATAAGGTCAGTCTGTGGGAGCCCCGATGCGGCCGTGCACGGCCCCACGCACTGGCTGCGCGAGCCTGGGGAGTGCTGTCGCCTCATCTGCAGGATCTGACTCGCAAGTAGGGCTGAAACGGTTAACGCGGCTACACCACTTAGCTCAGGGCTGGGTTCACAGAAAGCTCTAAATAAATGTCAGCGGCCGACTGTTAAGCGTCTTTCGGGACAGAGGTCTCCGGGTCTCCAGTGGGCCGGCCACAGAGCCGCACGGGTCCCCGCCGTCGCCGCCCTCGGCACTCCCCAGGGGCTCCGGGGTGGGAGGGGGAGGGACGACGTCTGACACATTCATCAGCAAGCGCGTGAATGCCGCCGTATGGCCCACCGCCGCGGAACAAGGGAAGGGGGCAGCGCCCAGATGGCAAAGGCCCGTCCCACCCCAGGACAGGGCGTCCCCGGAGGAAGGCAGTCAGCAGGCCCAGCAGCTGCTGGGGGCCGCCCCGGGGCGGGAGGCGGGTCCGGGGGAGCAGCTGGGCACGTGGCGCGCCGCCGAGCAGCGAAGGAGCCGCCCCAGCGTCGCGGCCCCGCCGCGCTCCCCCGACGCCCGCGCAGCCTCCGCAGCCGAGACCCGGCGCTGGCCCGGCCCCGCCACGCACCTCTCGTCCGCCATCACGATGGCGTCGAACATGTCGTGACTCCCGGCCATGGCGGCGCCCGGCCCGGCCCGCCCCGCCCCGCCCCTCGGGCCCCGCGGCCGCCGCCGCCGCCACCCGCGAGGATCCGACACCCGCTCGCCGCCGCCGCCGCGCACGCGAGGCCACTTCCGGGGGCGGAGACGCGGGGCAGGCCGGGAAAGGACGGCACGCGGGAGGGCCCAGCCGGCGCGCGCGGGAGCCAGGACGCATGCGCGCCGGCCGCGGGGGCGGGGCCGGCGAGGTCCAGCGGTACCTTTGCTAAAAAAAAAAAAAAAAAAAAAGACCACGTTGTGGGTGGAGCGCAGCTCAAGGTGAGCGTGGAGTCGCAGTTGCTTCGCAGGAGCCGGGGAGGAGCTCGTGAAGGGAGTTCCTGCCCAGAGCGGGGACAACCTGAAAACCTAAGGAACAGTCTGGAGATGCGTTTTTCATGAACATCATCACTCGGGAATCGCGTTTCCTGTTTCTAAAGAACTCACTAAGACGGATAAGCAGTGGGCCCGGGGCTCGAGGGCGCAGCTCGCTGGTCAGGCCGTGGCCGTGACCGTGACCTTGTCCCTCCACCTCCGGACGCGCACTGACGTTCGCAGCGGCAGGACTGGCACCCGCACCCGGAAGACGCAGCGGCCGCCGGAGCCAAAGTGAGGGCGTCGAAAATGCTCCCGATGCTCCGGGGGAAGCGAAGCCCCACGTCGCCTCCAATTCCACTAAGCACTTCTGCTCCTCAGCAGAACGAAAGGACACCACCACCAAAAAGTCACAGTCACTAGACCTAGATTTTGGAAGGACCGTAGTTTTAAAACCTCCTCTTTTATATTTTTTTCTGAATGTCTTATGTTTGCACAGTGAACGTAAGTGGGTCTCGAGATCACTAAAAAAAGCCCCATAAAACATTATTTTCAGAAGATGAAATTAGTGTGTTCTTTACATATGTTTTCATTTTTAGGGTTTTTTTTTTTCCATCAGCAAATAAAATCACAAAACATTTGGGTTGTAGGAAAACGGACAAAACAAGCAAGCAAATCCACTCTCCCACCAGTCTGGCCACCAATTCATTTTTGCTAATTTTGTTAGCATTATTTTCTTTGAATTTTCAGGTAAAAATAATAACACACGTACAATTTCGTATCCTCCCTGCCTATTAACGAGTAATAAAACTTAACATTATATTACACACATGTCCCAAATAAGAGAGTGGTTCTTTCATTATTACATACATAAAATAGATTTTTTTTTAACACAAACCTCATCAGCTGAAAGAAAATGAAGTAAGCTGGGGTTTTTTGCCATGGGAAAAGAATATGCAGTGAGGGAAGAGACCAATCACAGGATAAAATCCACAGACATAAAGGGTCAGAGATTGGTTATGTTATCTTGGCTTTTTCCTTTTTTTTTTTTTTTTTTGATGTTTATTTATTTACTTTTGAGAGAGAGAGCACGCGAGCTTGGGGAAGGGGCAGAGAGAGAGGAAGACACAGAATCCCAAGCAAGCTCCAACTGTCAGCACAGAGCCCGATGTGGGGCTTGAACCAATGAACTGTGAAATCCTGACCTGAGCCGAAATTAAGAGTCAACCACTTAAAGGCGGCCCTGTTATCTTGGATTTTCAATACTTGTTCACAAATAGCTTCATTTTCAAACAAGAACAAGACTTTTAAAACATGGCCTCAAAGGTAGAAAAAGGTGATTTTAAAGTACAATTTATTTCAAAATTCTTTTTTATAAGGATTATCTTCAGCTGATTTTTAATGTTTGTTTATTTTTGATAGACAGAGAGTGAGTGGGGAAGGAACAGAGAAAGAGGGAGACACAATCCGAAGCAGGCTCCAGGCTCCGTGCTGTCAGCACAGAGCCCAACACAGGGCTCAAACCCACGAACCGTGAGATCATGACTTGAGCCGAAGTTGGACGCTTAACCAACTGAGCCACCCAGGGGCCCCTCAAAAGTCTTAAATAAGTTTCAAATTTGGTGTCCTTTTCAGTACCTGAACCCATTAAAAACTAAGTAGAAAAACTCTGAAGTAATATTTCTCCCTGTTTTTGAGTTTTTGAGAAAACATGGTTTGTGTAGCTCTTAGGAGCTGAAATTTTCCATTTAATTGAATGGAATAAGAAATGATAAATTTGTTTAGGTATAATGAAAACTAAGGTTTTCAAAGGTATAGAGCTTTCTAAGCTTTAATTTTTAGGCTCTCTGAAAGCTGCCTTGATTATATTTATTCTAATGGCTTCAAAACACTATAATTAAATATTTATAACAAAAATATCAAGGGGACGATATAATCATCTCCTGGGAATCCACCATATTACCAAACAAAACGCACTTTAAAAAATTGTAAGGTTTCACATATTCTTGTTCAGGTTCAAAGAGAACCAAATCGATATAAGTAAAGAGAAAAACAAAGTTCATCCAAGTTCATTGAAATGTATTCACTTACCGGAATCGATTTTTTTAAAATTTTACCTATATCTGTAGCAAAATATTCATCGGCCTGCAAAACTAACCCGAATGAACCTGAATGTGTAGATTTACAATTGTTAATCTGGAAACACACCCATCTTGTTAGGAGAAAAAAAAAAGCGAGATAAAAACAAAATGTGTCATTGATTCCCAAGGTGGTTTAAAGAAAAGGAAACTTCATGGCACCTGGGTGGCTCAGTGGGTAGAGTGTCTGACTTCAGTTCAGGTCATGATCTTGTGGTTTTTGAGTTCAAGCCCAGCGACGGCATCTGTGCTGACAGCTCAGAGCCTGGAACTTGCTTTAGATTTTTCGTCTCCCTCTCTCTCTGCCCCCCCCTGCTCACGCTGTTTCTCTCTCTCTCTCAAAAATAAATAAACGTTAAAAATTGTGGGTTTTTTTAAGAAAAGGAAACTTCAGGCCTCTGAACCAGTTTCATATATGTTTCAAAATCTGTAGGGGCGCCTGGGTGGCTCAGATGGTTAAGAGTCTAACTTCATGGATTCGAGCCCTGTGTTGGGCTCCGTGCTGACAGTGCAGAGCCTGCCTGGGATTCTCTCTCTCTCCTCTCTTCTCTCTCTCTCTTTGTCTTTGTCTCTCTCTCTCTCAAAATAAATCAGTAAACTTCAAAATAATAATAACGATAATCTGGAAGGGTAGTGTCCTTATCCTGTTGCAGATTAATTAGTGCTCATTTCTGGCTAACGGATTGACAAGATTAAGAATTTTTATCTTCTCCTTGATGTGTTTCTGCATTTGATTTTTCTTTTTATCAGGGAGCAAAAATGCCTTTCATAATCAGAAAAAAAAGCAATTTCAAATTCTTAAAAGGAAGTCATTTAAGTGACCAGTTCCAGGAAATAAATCCCCCTCTCATTCTTTATTCATCAAAATTAAATGAAGACACAATTGGGGAAAGGCATTTTGGAGGCTCTAAAATCTCAGTTTCACCCCTGGCACAGGAGACAGAGAATCCACCCTTTGGGTCCCTTGCAGGCTCTCAGGCTAATTTCCCTCTATTCCTTACCCTAAGGAGAAGGTCTGGACCCTGCTCAGAAGGGCCATTTTCTTTTTTCTTTTCCTTTTCAACCCACTATTTTTTCATTGTTTATTTTAATTCTGGTATCGTTAGCATGGAGTGTTATATAAGTTTCACATATACAATAGAGTGATTCAATTCTATACATTACTCAGTCCTCAACATGGTAAGTGGACTCTATTTATTTGGGTTTTTTTTTTTTAAGTCTATTTACTTATTTTTTGAGAGTAGGGGGAGAAGCAGAGAGAGAGGGAGAGAGAATCCCAAGCAGGCTCCACTGACAGTGTGAAACCCTACACGGGGCTCAAACTCATGAACCGTGAGATCGTGACCTGAGCCGAAATCCAGACTCTGATGCTTAACTGACAGCCCCCCAGGCACCCCCCCCGTGACAACTTCTTCTTAATCCCCTTCACCTGTTTCCCCCATGCCCCCCACCCACCTCCCTCTGACGATCATCAGTTTTTTCTCTATAATGAGGAGTCTGTTTCTTGGTTTGCCTCTCTCTCTCTTTTTCTTTGCTCATTTGTTTTGTTTCTTCATTTCCACATGTGAATGAAATCATACGGTATTTGCCTTTGCCTGACTTATTTTGCTTAGCGTTATACTCTCTAGTTCTATCCAATGGCAAAATTTTGTTCTTTTTTATGGCTGAATAATATTCCATCGGGTACCTATAACTACATCTTCTTTATCCATTCATCAATCAATGGACCGCTTCCATTGGAAGCTTGGGCCGCTTCCATAATTTGGCTATGGTAAGTAACGCTGCTATAAACATGGGGATGCAGGTACCCCTTTGCATTAGCGGTTTTGTGTTTTGGGGGTAAATACCCAGAGTTTTAGCGTGATTACTGGATCACAGGGTAGTTCTACTTTTAACTTTCTGAGGAAACCTCATACTGTTCTCTCCGGTGGCTGCCCCAGCTTGCGCTCCCAGCCAGAAGGGCAGTTTTCTACCTGCCTGCTCGGAGCCTCTGATGGCCACAGGACGAGAGACATGCAGAGGGACTGGGGGGCCTGGTGCTGTGACCTGGGACCAAGAGGCTTCTCGAGCACTCACGCCCTCTAGAGGGGCCCTGGCCAGCAGGGGTCAGCCTCTGCCCCTGGGGCACACGCTCAGATTTGGGTCAGAGCTCCTGACCCAGGTTCCCCAGCTCCGTCCGTCTTCCTGACTGCTCTGGGATCCACAGGGACACAGCTACTGCCTCCAATTGTACGAAGGAGAAGAGGTGAGTCTGGGCAGGCAGGCCCCAGACTCGGCTGGTCTCGGGGAGGGGAGGGTCTGAAGCTTATGAAGAGGCAGAGACAGTTGGGGGGAAAGTAGCACAAAGATCCGGCAGAGAGGGGCCCGACTTCTCCCCTGCACACTCGTGTCAGCTTGGGCTCGTTTGTGCCGCAGGAAGACACACCCTGACATCTCAGTGGCTTCTGCCACGAAGGGCTGGTTCCCACTCGCACAAAGTCCGTCACGGGGGTGAGGGGGGTAGGTCTCCAAAACTGTGATTTTCAACGTGAAAGAAGGTTTAAAAGAAACTAACAGGGGGTGCCTGGGTGGCTTAGTCGGTTAAGCGTCTGACTTCCGCTCAGGTCATGATCTCGCGGTTCGTGGGTTCGAGCCCGGTGTCGGGCTCTGTGCTGACTGCCAGCTCGGAGCCTGGAGCCTGTTTCAGAGTCTGTGACTCCCTCTCTCTCTGACCCTCCCCTGCTCACGCTGTCTCTCTCTCTCCTAGAAATAAATAAAACATTAAAAAAAAATTAAAAAAATACATTAGATGCTAATATGAAGAATTACATTATTTTTCATCTAATGTATATAACACAAGTGTCTACAAAGCATTTTATCTGAATGGCCTCAAATTGTAGTATACAACAGAAGAGTGAATACTTTGCTTTCTTATCAGGTTGCCCTGTGAGAATTAATACTAATGACAAGCAGTAATCAGTACTTATGCCATCCATAATCCAATGTTATTTATTTGGGGAAAAATTCATATCCTGTCACTAGGTAAAGAGACTACATAAAATGAAATATATTTATTTTTATGCCAGTACTATTTGCTAACCCTATCTAAAAGCAAATATTCAAAAAGGATGGAGAAAGTGCATNTCTGTGACTCCCTCTCTCTCTGACCCTCCCCTGCTCACGCTGTCTCTCTCTCTCCTAGAAATAAATAAAACATTAAAAAAATTTTAAAAAAATAAAAGAAAATAACGAATGTTGGAATATTCGCAGCTGCCGAGATTGCAAAGTTTACTTTGCCAAGGCTCTAGTGCAGTGTAGACGCCCTGTAAGTGATGTTGAAGGAGTAAGTGGAAGAGCTCAGCTAGCAGGTGGCTGCCTGGGAAGCCCCCCACCCCCTCTGGGGCCATGGGCTGGAGGAGGGGCCGGAAGTCACCCTGGCCCTGTTTGCCTGGCAGGTTTGACCACGGCCTTTGGGTCATCGCCACGGAGGGCGACCAGGTAGAGGGTTTCTTGCCGCAGCTCAAAGCCCTTCGGAGTCTGCGTCTGTAGCTGAGCAGGCCCGGACCTGTCCAGGCTCAGCGAGGCCTTCCGCCAGGGCAAGTCAGAGAGGGAGCGCCCCGCGGAGGCCGCGTGCGGCGGTGAAGGCAGGGCCCGGCTCTGCTCCACCCCCACCTGCTGCCCTGGAGAAGGGGTGGGTGTGTAGAGCTCACGACCCCTCACGGAGCCTGTAGCGGAGGCTCTCCCCTTCAACATCCCTTCCTTTCTCCAGAGGGACCTCAGCTCCAGAGTCTGCCTCCCCGGGGCTGTGGCCCCTTGTGGCCCCAGCACCCTCTCTGGGCTTTCCCTCCCCTGGGCCCCTCCTGGCGTACCCTCTCCCTGCCCAGCCTGGGAGAGCTTCCTCCTTTCCCGCTTCCGCGGAGCAGAAATTCCTGCCTGGGCTCCTTCCCCAGAGCCAGGATGGCTGTCGGGCTGGCTTTGCCCCTTCCGTGCCCGGCCTGAATATCCGGCTCCCTACAGGACAGTGGCATTGGGAGGCAAGGCTGGGGCTCCGGCCCACTCAGTATGGGCTCTGCAGCCATAAAGCCCAAACCCCTGTTTCCCATTTCCTCCTCTGCTCGGAGTGTGCTGCTCAAGGAAGCCAGCTTTTCGCGGCATCCGAAACTCAGATTCACCAGCCGGGCATTAGTGGAATTCACCTCCATTTGCTCATCTGTGAAATGGGAGGAATACTGGCTGGGATGACCGGAGGATGAGTCCCCGGCATGCAGGAAATGTAATAAATAGATTCATAAATATTCTAAACACGGTATGTTTATTTTTACAAGTATAAATATTTAAATTTATAAATGTATGTTTTTATTTATATATTGTTTTCTAGATGCATGGGTAATGTCGGGTTGTAGAAGGGAAGCCTTCCCCGCCCTCCGCGCTCTCCTGGGGTCCAGCATCAGAGGTTCTCCGCGAAACTGGACTTGCCCGGCAGGGGGAGCGGAGTCGGACGCGCGCGGGCCGTTCGCGCACCCGCCACCGGGGGGCGCCGTTGCGCTTCCGGCCGCGCCTCCCAGCTCGGCCACCTGCCGCCCGCTGGGGAAACCCCTACCGGCTAGAACATTCTTATCCCGAACTTCCATTTCCGGGGCCAGGCCGCAATGATGATAATAAGGACCCACCTATCTGTGTGTCAGAACCTCTTCTTGGGTTATCGCTTGTAATTCTTTTTTTTTTTTAAGGTTTTTTTTTTAATGTTTTATTTATTTCTAGGAGAGAGAGAGAGAGAGAGAGACAGCGTGAGCAGGGGAGGGTCAGAGAGAGAGGGAGACACAGACTGAAACAGGCTCCAGGCTCTGAGCTGGCAGTCAGCACAGAGCCCTACGCGGGGCTCGAACCCACGAACCGTGAGATCATGACCTAAGTGAAAGTCGGACGCTTAACCAACTAAGCCACCCAGGCGCCCCTATCGCTTGTAATTCTTAAAAATGCGCCCTGGAGACGGATTTTATCATGACTCGGGACCGACACCAAGGCTCTGGGGGGCAGGGGGGCTACTTGGCTTCTAAGGGGCAGATGTTAAAGCCATCCTGGGTGGGCGACCCCAGACCACGTGGCCTCCCTCCGTTACCACCCCCCCCCCCCAGCCGCTGCCCGCCCAGCCTCACCGCTCTCTGTCCAGCGGGGAGCCCTCGGGTCACATAAGAGAAGGAAATGGGGGCCGACTGACGTCACCCGGCTCTGATGGAGGAACACGGTCGTGGAGCCCTGCGTCCGGGTCTCCCGTCAGCCCGCTCTGGTCTGAGCCCAGCTCTCAGGCTCCTCCTAGGGCTGGTGTTGGATCCGGCTTCGCCTGGGCCTGGGCTCCCCCCAGGCTACCTGGGGGCCCAGGAGCCACAGGGCTGAGCAGCTAGCAAGGAAGGAGGTGACCCCACCCCCCTCCCCCACCTGCCCCTCCTGTGCCCACCCTGCCGGGGCCCTACGGGTCCTGGGCTGGTGTGGGTGGTGGGTGAAAGTCCGGGCCTGGCGCCCTCACCATCAGCCCCCAGTCCTGCCTAAAGTAAACTGAGTTGCGGTCGTGCCGAGGAACCTGACCGTGTACACGTGGGCAGTGACCTGGCCCCCGGACAAAGGGAGAGTGCAGTCGGGCGGCCTCTGGGAAGGTATGTAATGTGCGTGCCCTTTCCGACATGGCAGTTCCACTGGTCTTTCCATCGGCCATGGGTTGAATGATGCTCCCCAAAAAGGTATGTCCGACTCCCCACCCCCAGCACCAAAGAACGTGACCTTGGTTGGGAAAAGTGTCTCTGACGCAAGGGTCTCGAGCCGAGATCTGGACCCACCTGGGCCCTAAATCCAGTGGCAGGTGTCACATGACAACACAGAAAAGGAGACACCGGGAGACGCGGCCACATGGCGACACAGGCAGAGGCTAGAGCGGCGCAGCCACAGCCCAGGGACGCCTGGAGCCCCCCAGAAGCCGGAGGCAGGAAGGACCCTCCCCTAGAGCGCTCTGGAAGGAGCACAGCTCCGCCCGCACCTGGACTGTGGACGCCGGCCTCCAGAGCCACGGGAATCCATTTCTGGTTCGCTGTGATTTGTTACGGCAGCGCCAGGAAATGAACACGGCCCTCCAGGAAGCTGCTCGAAGGTGTTCCCCCTGGACAGGGGAGGCAGGGGATGAGGGCAGGGAAAGCAGGGGGGTGCAGAGAGGAGTGTGCTTGGAACCTACGTATGTGGCCGCACCCACAGACAGAGCCCCGCCGGGGGCCAGGGTGGGCGAGGAGGGGCGTGAGCGGCGGACCTCCCTTCTGCGCCGCGTCTGCTCTTCCACGAACGACTCACGCACTGTCATTAGTGTGATTAAATGCACACCCCTTTAGGGGCACCGGGGCGGCTGGGTGTCCCACTCCTGACTTTGGCTCAGGTCGTGACCGCAGGGTCGTGGGATGGAGCCCCGCGTCCGGCCCTGTGCTGAGCTTGGAGTTCGCTTACGATTCCCTTGCTCCCCCTGCCCTGCCCTGCTCACACTCTCTCTCTCTAAAAAATTATTTTAAATAAATAGAAATATGCACCCCCTTACAAGGAATCTCACATGGGATCCAAGGACCCCCCCAATCAACAGGTGGGAAGGTGAGAGCCCCCAAAGGGCCGAGAGGTCTGCCGCTGGTGTCGGAGCTGGGGCCGGTGAGGCCTCCTCCCAGGGCCCCGCTCTCCCTCCCCGTTGCCCGTGAGCCCCGGCTGCCTCCCCACCCACGTGGCCTGGTGGACTCCGGCGACGATGTCCCCCATTCTGCTCTACACCTCACGGCACACGGGGCTTCCCAGGGACCTGCATCGCGGTGACAGGTAACCCCCTGACCCTCCATGGCCCCCGGGATGGGGTTTACCTTCTCTGTCTGGTCACAAAGGAGCCCTGTCACCTGGGTGTCCCTCCGGCCTCACCTGGCTGTCCGGCCGGCCCTCACTGTGCTGGCACGTCCTGGAGACAGGCCTTAGAGCCAGCTCCCCGGGGCGCTCACGGCCTGGGGACTCGCCACTCTCCCGCCAGCCACACAGGAGGCGCACCCACACCTTCCAGGGCCTTCCGTGAGCCCACGGGTGAAGCAGGGAGACTTCGTTCTGGGGGAGACAGGGCAGCTGCAGAGTCCAGTCTGCCCACCTTGTCTTCACCAGCAGACCACACGGAGACAGGAGTTTGCACGAGCCCAGGGACAAGATGCTACAGACAGAGCGGCTTGAACACTCACTTAGGTCTCTGTTCTGGAGGCTGGAAGGCCGAGGTTGGATGGCTCTGGGGGCCTCTCTCCTCGGCCCGCAGACGGGGCTTCTCCCTGTGCGTCCGATCCGCCTTCGTATGTCGCCATGACTTAATCACCCCTTTTATTTGATTTTTTAGTGTTTATTTATTTTTCAGAGAGACAGAGAGCGAGCAGGGAAGGGGCAGAGAGAGAGGGAGACACATAATCCGAAGCAGCTCCAGGCTCTGAGCTGTCAGCACAGAGCCCGACGCGGGGCTCGAACCCACAAACTGAGAGATCATGACCTGAGCCAAAGTCGGAGGCTCAACCGACTGAGCCACCCAGGAGGCCCTTAATCGCCTCTTTTAAGGGTCCCATCTCCAAATCCAGTCACATTCTGGGGGCTAGAGGACGACGAAAGTGATTGAGTCCTGGGGCGCCTGGGAGGCTCAGTTGGTTAAGCGACTGACTTCGGCTCAGGTCATGATCTCGCAGTTCATGGGTTCGAGCCCTGCGTCCCGGGCTCTGTGCTGACAGCTCAGCCTGGAGCCTGCTTCGGATTCTGTGTCTCACTCTCTCTCTCTGACTTTCCCCTGCTCACACTGTCTCTCTCTCTGTCTCTCAGAAATAAAAAAATCATTTAAAAAAATTAAAAAAAGAAAAAAAAGAAAGTGGTTAAGTCCTGTCTTCCTCTGCAGACGGGGTGGAACGATGGAGAAACAGCCAGGCTCAGACGGAGGGCACACCAGCACCGTGTTGCCAGCAGCCTGGCCTCGAAGGAGCGGCAGAAGTGAGTTCTCCGAAGAAATAACAACAGAAAAAGACTTAGAACTCAGAAAGGAACAAGGGCCATCAGACTGGTAAAGCCAGGGGTAAGTATATTAGAGCAGCCTTCTCATGAGCGTTTTAAAGTCATGTGGGGGGGGGGGGTGAGGCAAAACATCACAACCATATCTGATGTGATGCTTAGTGCATCTCTGTCTGTCTGTCTCTCACTCTTTCTCTCTCTGCTCCTAGTCGCCAAAGACACCCCTTCTCTGCTCTCCCCTTCTCTTAATAGAGGCTCCTTTCTCTTGGTCGATAGTCGGGGCGGGTGAGCCAGGGCCGGCCCATCCCAGCAACCGGGCCCCTGGCTGCAGACATCTGGTAGGGAATAAACGTGGGACAGAAGGGTTCTGGAACCCTCCTAGGAGCTGCTGCTGAGGCTGAGGACAGAAAAGCCTGGAGTTGCTGGCGACCATCCTTCATCTCGAGGGGAGAAGATGCCGAACGCCCAGCAGCCACCCCACCTGCGCGGCAGGTGGAAGCCAGGTCACATGGTGCCATTTGTAAGGTGAGCCCCCCACCCCCACCCCCAAGAGTAACACAGCCTGAGGACTCTCCCTTCCCGGGTCGTACTCTTGAATTCTGCGTCTGGGATCTCACCCCTGGACAGGCTGGTCCGATGGAACTACTTCCTGCCCCTGCTCCTCTCTCGCCATTTGCCCGCCGGTGCTGTGGATCTAAGGCGAGGGCTACCAGATAAAACCCAGGGCACCCAGTTAAATGTGAATTTCAGACAAACAGTGAATCGTTTCTTAGTATAAGTATGTCTCCTCTTGCATGGGACGGACTTATACTAAAAAATGTGGCGCTTATTTGAGTTAAATCTTATGCCAGATTTAACTGGGCACTGCTGCGTTTATATTTGCTAAATGTGACAACGCTGTACAAGGCAGGGAAGGGAGAGGCAGCAAAAAGCAACGCCTACCTTCTTCAATGTGGAGCCGAGGCGGGTCAGGGGGGTGAGTGCAGGGGTGCAGCCTTGAAAAATCATCCTCACCTCCTACCAGAGGGCCCATGTCGTCCATCCATATGGCTGCACGGACATCTAAAGAGACAATGAAAATGTATCAACCATCAACACTCTAGTATGAATTCGTTTACAAAAATGTGCGTTTACTCATTGTCAGCTGTGCTATAGTGAGGAAACTCCACATCATTTTTCCCTTGAAGTGTTTGTCTCCAGAGCACAAAGGACCAAATGTAAACTGTTTTCCTCTGGCTCTCAACCTTGGCTGCACATCTGAATCACTGGGGAGCTTCACAAAATCCTAATGTCCGGGCCACACCCATTCCAATTAAACGAGGCTCTCTGGAGATGGGGCCTAGCCATCGTGTTTTCCCCTAGGTGATTCCAACGTGCAACCAGATTTAAGAACCAGTGGAAATAACTGTTCAAGTCTGGGCCGGGCACCCTGCAGACCTAATTCCATCCGATTCTCCCAACGGGCCCGCCGTGCAGGCGTGGTTCATCTCCCCGGTCACACGAGGATGCAGGCTGGGGTGCGGGTGGGGTGACCTGGCGTACTGGAGGGGACACAGCAGGGGACTCATCGCCTGACGCCACAGCCCTTCCGCCATGCTGCTTGCAGAGCATGCCACTTCTGGTCCTGTCTTCCCTCACCCGTGCGGTGCTCCGGGCGCCATCCAGCCACACGGTCACATGGCGAGTCGCTCAAGAGTGAGACACTGTCGGGGCGCCTGGGTGGCTTAGTTGGTTAAGCATCCGACTTTCACTTGGGTCATGATCTCGCGGTTCGTGGGTTCGAGCCCCGCGTCGGGCTCTGTGCTGACTGCCAGCTCAGAGCCTGGAGCCTGTTTCAGCCTGTGACTCCCTCTCTCTCTGACCCTCCCCTGCTCACGCTGTCTCTCTCTCTCTCTCTCCTAAAAATAAAAAAAATTAAAAATAAAAAAGAGTGAGGCACTGTCTTGATGAGCAAATGGTGCAGGGTCAGCTCTGGGCGCCTGGGCAGGTCTTCAGTGTGCAGGACAGTTTGGAGTGGGGACCCTTCGCCAGGGCATGAGAGGCGCCTCCTGAAATGGCCGCGGTACACTTCAGCCACAATCTTTTTTATTTATTTATTTTTTTCTAGGAGAGAGAGAGACAGCGTGAGCAGGGGAGGGTCAGAGAGAGAGGGAGACACAGACTCTGAAACAGGCTCCAGGCTCTGAGCTGGCTGTCAGCACAGAGCCCGACGCGGGGCTTGAACCCACGAACCCTGAGATCACAACCTAAGCGAAAGTCGGACGCTCAACCGACTAAGCCACCCAGGCGCCCCTGACTTCAGCCACAATCTTCGCAGGAGCAGCGGCCGACGTCACCGCCCCGTAACTGGCAGCTGCAGGAGTGATCTGGACACGTCCACGTCCACGCCAGGCACTGCGTGGCTGCTCCGATCCTGGCCGCTCCCTCCGTCTTCGTCCCATTTTACAGGTGAGGACATGGAGACTCGGAGCAGTCGAGGATTTGCTCCACAATGAACGGTGACGGGGGAATTTTGCCCCAACACATGCCGCCAACGGCTCTCACAGTTTTGGGCTGTCTAATGAGGGGGCCGCTGGCATCTAGGGTCGCTTTTCGTGACCTTCGCACACTCAGGAGCACCTGCCCTGACAGAGACTTCTGTGGCCACAAATGTCAATTCGCTGAGGGTGAGACAGAGTCAGGTCAGGCCACTGCTAGCTGGGACTCGTTTCCCAAATGTGAACACACTCCTATGGCTGCCCTAAGGCGCAGGGGGAGGCGGCACCCAGGCAGGAAGGGAAGGGGAGCCCAACCAGCCCCCACCTCTGGTGGGTTTAACCTAATCTATTATTTAACTCACCTGAGCCTCAGCTTAAGGGACGGCGACAATGACCCAGAAGCTTCTGTAGAAAGTAGTTTTGAATGCAGCACATGCACACACGCGCGCGCACGCACACACACGCACACACGAAGTGTGTCCTCTGAGCCCAGCACCGGGATCGCTTCCCTTCCCGGCACCCTGCTCTTCCTCACAGCTGGATGCCGAAACGCAACTTTCGGTATAAATTGTGCTTTAATGTAGAAAACAAAACTCACGTACATCATAAATACAACTCGGGGGTATAAATATAGTAAGAAAATAAAGAGATGTGCATATCAAACAAAATAAATTACTCATAAATACCACGTTGGAAACTAAGTGCTGGGGAAAAGGTCCCCTCCACTCCCCCCCCCGCCGCCTGCCTCCGCAAGTGACTGGCCAAGATTTGGGGCTTCCAGATCCAGCCTTTTCTGGCTCTTTGGATGAAAGGTGCCAGCCCGCCCGAGGCGGGAGGCGGCCAAGTCCTGTGGAACAGCAAGGCGTGGTGGCCCGCGAGGGGCTGCGGAAACGGAGACAGCCCCGGAAGATGGTGTCACCTCCTCCCTGGTCCGTAACCAGGGCGCTTAAGGAGGGAGGACGCCAGAGTCACAGCGCGGCGCGCGGGATCGGGAAGGGGTCGGCGTGGGGGGTTCCATCCCGTGGGCGCGCGTGTGAAACCCACACGACACGAGCAGACGGGGCCCCACGGACACGTGCGTCGTCACAGCAAGGGCTGCTGACGCTGTCCTCGCGTCCGGTCCCTCTGAGCAGGTGCTAAGGTGGCCGTTCACTTGCGAGAATCAGCCTGAGCCCCGGCAGGCGCTGGGTGCGTGTAGGGCGCTGGCCGCCCAGCGGGGGGCACGTGAATTCCCGCTGTGCCCTGGGCAGAAGGCCGAGTCCGGCCAAGGCGCTCTGTCCCAGCCGTAGTTCTCGAGATCTACCCAGGCTGGGGGAGGCCTGTGGGCTGTCCCCGTTCCCGAAGCCCGGCGGGCCGTGCCTGTGCTCCGTCACTTCTGTCCTGGGGGTGGTGTGGGGAGAGCCGACGAACCTCCCTGCAGTCGAGACTTCCATCAATTCTCCTGTGGTAGAGTCAGATTTACCTAAGGTTTCACAAAGCTGATCACCTGTACGTGAGTTTTAAAGGACGGCTTTTCCTCCGGCTGCCCCTGCTGAGAACAATGGAGACCTGCAGGAAGTTTCTGCTTGGCCTCAGTGCCTTCCCAAAGGCAGTGAGTGAGCTCCCGGTCAGTGGAGATATTCAAGCAGATGCAGGGCAGCGCGGCACATCATCCAGCAGTGGCGAAGGTGCTGGGAGGCGGGCTTGCAATTTCATGATCATACAAGTCTATTCGCTAGGAACTGACACAGTCGATGTGAAGCTCTGTTTATGTACAAGTTCTCTAGGTTTCGTTCTAAAGCTAAACGGAACATGAGCCCGGGATTGTAGAAGCACAGCCAGGACCCACTTTGCAAACATCCCCAGGTCCGGGGTCCTGGCCTCTACAGGCGGGGGACGGGGCAGGGGAGGCCACAGCCTCAGTTATTTTTGGAAGCTGGGACTCTTCACTAGTCCCATTTTGGTGGCGATCCCAAAGGGGTCCATGCTGTCTGTTTCTAGGGACGAAGAAAACCCGTCCGACTCCGCGTGGTCCTGGAGGTCTCTGGGCTCTGCTGGGCTGCTGGGCAGCATGGGCAGGAAATGGGACAAGGGCAGAAAGCCCCTGTCCTTATACAGCTGCCTCTGTTTCGCACTGCTCAAAGACACGGGGAGGCGGTGCTTCTTGGACCGGTACATGTTGTAGCCGTCGGGGCGGACCTCTTCCTCGAAGGCACAGTCCCCAGCCGAGTACTGAAGCTAGGGAGAAAACAGGCAGCCATGAGCACCCCCGGGGGCGACACCCTCAGAAAGAGCAGAGAAACCGGGCCCAGGTGAGCATCTGCGTGATGGCCATACGTATCTGTGTGTGTAGTTAAAGGTTATATGAAGTATGAAGGTACCTAAAGTTCATGGTTATATATGTAAATAGACTTCTATACGTCAAGTCTGCATTATACTAATTAGCATACACATCGCGTGTATACGAATATATAAATGTGAAAAATTAGGGGTTCCTGGGGGTTCAGTCGGTGAAGCGTCCGACTTTGGCTCAGGTCATGATCTCAAGGTTTGTGGGTTCGAGGCCCGCTTCGGGGTCTGTGCTACAGCTCGGAGCCTGGAGCCTGCTTTGGATTCTGTGTCTCCCTCCCTCAAAAAAATAAACATTAAAAACATTCTAAAAAATAAGTGTGAAAAATCATAACATTAAATGTTAAATATATAGCATATATACTTTATAAATATAAATTTATACATGTAAATGTTTTATAGACTTTTATAACCTTTATACACACACATACTTCAGGTATACGTATCGTGGATATACTCAATATCTGTATATACTTAACATGTACCTTTCAGATCTCTCACTAAATCACGTCACTGAAACTCAGTCTCGTTCTGAGCAATAGGTACAAAATCAGAGGAGCAATGTGTATACTCAGTCCCTCACCCTTTATGTTAAATGCCGAACTATTGAGTTACAAGGTCCGTGGCATCCACTGGCACTTTGCGAGATGCTGCTAAACTAGGCAAGCGCTCCCAGTCCAACCTGGGGCCCAGGCCAAAGCATCTGCCTACTCCCCCTGTAGACCTGAGGGCGATCCAAGGCCTTTTTGTCTGATGTCCTTGTAGGAAACATCAGGGCTCCCTCATTCGGTGGCAGAGAGCCTTCCAGGATTATCAAGATAAAGGCAGCCCCCTCCCCCCAGGCCCAAGACAGAGCCTCCCCCCCCCACCCCCACCCCCGCGGGAGGCCGGAAATTCGGGAGGAAGGGCAGAAAGCAGCCCCTGGGGTCCCAGAGAGGCAGCAGTCTGGCCAAGTCCTGGGCCAAACTGGGGAAGGTCATTACCCGGTGGGGGACACGGAGGACAGCCCAAGGCGAGGAGCCAGGAGGGCTGGGCGGTGATCAACCCCGGGAGGCACCCAGTCTCGTTTGTGCCCAAGCCTACAAAGGTCAGTGAACTGCAGGTGGGTAAGTGCGGTGCTGATAAGGCTCTGATAAGGCTCAGGTCTAATGAAGCAACAACAGGTCCCCAGGTTTCCCTCCCCACACACACACACACACACTGGGACAGAGCCACCAGACAGCGGGGACAGGCAAACCGATAAATAAAACGAGGGATGGAAAAGCAAATGCTAGACTGTTTTACTCCGCTGGTTCTCTCTGGGAGGAACTAGCACCCCCTGCCCTTCTCCGGACAGAAAATGAAACGAGTTCAAGTCTCTTAGAGAAAGCGGCATTTGTTAAAAAGTAAAAGAAAACAAAAACAAGCCATACCCACGGGATCAAGAGGCAGAACAGGATCTTAGGTTAAGGGACAGCCCCCCCCCCATTCCCCAAGTTGAGACTGAATGATGGGTAGACCCTCTGCCCCCGCCGACCTCCAGCCACCACTCCCCGCCCCCCAGTAACTGTCCCAACAACGAACGTTGCAACTGTGCTTCTGGAGTGGGTGTCAGCTTTCAGCAAGCGACCACCTCCCTTCCTTCCCTCCCTTCTTGCCATTTCCCCGCCGGCTCGGCCATAAAACCTGAAGCAGGCTGTCTGGACGGCAAAGGAATACACTGACCCCACAGCCACAGAACAACCGAGACACTAAAAGGATCCGCGCTGCCCGGGAGGCCCGGCGTCTGCATCTTTGGGGGGGGGGGCCGTCGCGGAAGGCGCGGTCTCCCCGCCCCCCTTCGCCCGGCTCCCCCATCCGAGGCCGCGGCCCAGCGGGGCTGCATTGAGGCCCAGCGCCGGGCCGGGACCTCACACAGTCTCTTCTATGCGCCCGGGGGCGCGGGCGGGGCGCGGGCTCCCTTTGAACTCCCCGTCTTTGTTCCCAGAGACCGGGACCCAGCATCCGCACACTTCCTGCCCTGAGACCTCGAGGGTTACCTGGGCCTTCCCGGTGCCCCCCCCCCCCCATCCGCAGTCCAGGTGAGGCGCCCAGGGACGCAGGGGGCACTGGCGCGGATTCTAAGGCCTCAGCGAAACCCCACTGCTGTGCTCCAGATAAAAATCAATGAGCAGAAAATCTCCCCAATCCCAATGCCATTTCTTTCCCTGACTTATTTGAAGATTGGCTTTTTCAAAAAGATCCAAGTTGTGAATATACTTTCTCGTTGTTTCCTTTTATTTTTTTACTGCAGGGAGGGAAACGGAGGCGAGGACCACACACGTGCAGGCCGAGTCTGCAAAGGCCCGAGGTGGGTTTAACTGTTTAATATCAGCGAAAGCCGAGGCCAGCGTTTCCTCTGTCCCACTGGGCCGGCCTTCGGCTCGACTGGAATTGCAAAGGCAGGTCTCATCCGCTCTGTGCCCACTTGCCGGGGCGCAAACATTCGCACTTTAGATTAATCTCGCCCTTTGCCTCCCGAGCCCCGTGCCGGACCCGGCGGCGAAAGCGAGGAAACCCTGGATCGGATTCAGGGCGCCCGCCTCCCGGCAAGGCCCCGCCTGGGCACCGGCTTGGGTCCCGCGCCCCAGCGCCTAACCCCGGGTGGCGACACCTACCAGCCCATGCATCCTGCCGTCGGCGCCCATGCAGAGGTACCGGACGCTGTGCGCGCCCTTGATGGCCACGGTCCGCAGTGCGACCGCCCTGATCTCCACCAAACCTGAGCGGGAGGGAAGCGGAAAGAAAGCTGCAGCCGCGTGGATGCGGCCGGTGCCCGGGCCCATGCCCTCCCCCACTCCTCCACCTCCTCTAGGACCCTGGGGCGGGAAGGGAACACCCAGGTTCCGGGAGCGGCGGGCGGGGGGGCGGGGGGGAGGGGGCGGTGTGCGGGAACCGAAGGTGGCGAGTGAAAGATAACGCGTGGGTGCGGTGGGTCCACGTGCCGGCGCCCTCACCCCTCCACTCCCCACGCCGTCAGGGACCGACCCCGGGCAAGGAGCAAAACCCAGAGGTGCCAAGATGTAGGGTTCCCCCGAGGGCGTAAAGGGTCGAAGGGGCACGGGGGCGGGGGGCACTCACTGTGCGCGCTCCGGCTCCGCGCGCAGTCAACCCCGCCGTCGGCTCGGATGCGCAGGAAGCAGCTGGAGAGGCCGTGCGGGCCGGCGGCGTACAGGTGCCGCAGGCGGATGGGCTCGCCCCAGCCGTAGTGCACGTGAGGCCCCGCGTCCGAGAAGGCTAGGGGGCGCCCGGCCGCGGCCAGCCAGAGACCGGCGAGGACCAGGGCGCGGGCGACCGCGTACCGGCTCGGCGCGCTCCGCATGGCACCTCCGCGGGCTGTGGGCGCAGTTCTGGCGGCGAGGCTGCGGGAGGCTGGGCGGCAGCCGGGCTGCGCGTGCCGAGGCGGGGTGCGTCCCTCCAGCAACCGCGCGCTCGGGGCGCCTGGGCGCTCAGCGCTGCTGCTTCGACGGCGCGGGTGGCTGGAGGCCGGCGACCTTATATAGCGCGTCTTACCCTCCCGGCGGGTGGGTGCCCGCGATTCCCGAGCATTTCTTATCAGGATTGCATCAGCCCTCCGCCCCCCGCACACACCCGCTCACACCCCGCCTCCTGCCCCAGCCCCTCCCCGGACCCCGCCCGGGTGACCCCGCCCCGGCCTCGCGGACCTGGGGTAGGAGTAGCCCCGCTTTACCCGAGGGTTCGGGGGAGCTCCTCCCGGCGGCGCGGTGGCGGGGCCGGGGGCCGGCTCGCTCTCGGCAGGGCCAGTTTGGTTTTGTAAAGCAATAAATGAGACAGCCGGCCCCGCCCCCAGGCCGCGGGCTCCCCCAGGGAATGCCCGGAGTCGGGGCGTCAGCAGGAGCGGGGAGCAGGCGCCCCGTGAGGAGGGTCTGGAGAAGCGTCGCCGCGGCTTGGAGCGCTCTCCCCTTAAAAGCCTGCGCTCCGCTCCCTCCCGCGACGGTCCCAGCCGTCATATCTCCAGATGCGAAGCCGTCCATTAGCGTTTCCCCCTGCAGTCGGACTAGCTCACGCTTTCCTGGTTTTATGTTCTCGCGATCCCTGCCCCCCCCCGCCCCTTTCACCCCGGTAAATCGCCCCCCGACGGGGGGCCGGGCTCGAGTCCCGGGAGGAACAATGGGGGAGAGGCGCGCGGCGGGCGCTAGATGGCGCGGCGGCCCCGGCTTCGGCCTCGGCGCGGGCGGCGGGGCCCGGAGCCCAAGCGGCCGTCGCGAAGGCGCCCCCGCGGGGGCCCCCCAGCCGCGGCCGGGGGGCTCCGACCTCCAGGCCCGGCCCCGCGCCGCGCGCCTGGGGTGCCTTTGTCCTGGGTGCGGCCTCGGGTCCCCGAGCTCCTCTCCGGGGCGCGGGCGCGCTGTCTCCCGGGGCCGGGTTGGGGGGTGGGGGGGACGCGGTCGGAGGAAGGGAAGGAGTGGAAGGGCGGTGAGGGGCGCTGCTGCGATGGGGGCGGGCGCCAGGAGGGGAAACCGGGGCCCCTTGGTTAGGTGGTTCCTGCAAACCGCAGACTCTGTGCGTCCGGAGAAGCCATGGCGGGAAAGAGAGAGTGCTCCGGGGGACCGTTCCGCCCGTTCCTCCTCGTTTCCTCTCCAAACCCCCACATTCCTGGGTGTGGGGCCCCAGGAGGCCAGTTTTGGGGGAAAGCGCGCTGTCTCAGCACCAGCCGAGGGCGAAGCGTGGAGACACGGGGGAGAAGGCGGCGCCGGGCCTGCTGAATTTCAATGAGCAAAGGCCACGTTCAGTCGTAATGACAGCGTGCAGAAAATGTCACCGGGGACGGCTTCACAAAAAGACAGCATCTCAAAGGCTTTATAGCCCGGGACCCCCACGCTGCGTGTCTTGGTTCAGAAAGCCACGGCTTCTGTTAAATCTAATTACTTCCCCCCTGTGGCTTTAAATCGACAGCGGCCCCTATGAAACTTAATTGCCCTTCCCTGCAGCTTTCGTTTCAAAGATCTTGGATAAATGCGGGGTGGCGAGGAGCATGGCAGAGGCTGCATGGGGGGGGTGCACCCCTACTCGGTCTGGGGCGGTGGGGGGATCCCAGCCTCTGCTCCACCCCCTACTCCTCGGCTGCCCCTCCCAGGGCCACAGAGGGCAGCGTGGCCGTTGTGATCACCGAGCTCGGGAAGGTGGTGGAGGCGGCAGCACCCTACGCCCAGGCCCTGCCCTAAGCACGTTAGGGGTGTTCTCGGCTTAAACCCCTCTAAGAGCCTCCACCGGATTCGGTCCCCGCCTCCTTGATCAGCCTCCGGAAAGTGGCAGGCATCCTGTGAGGCGTGGCCCTGAGTTGGAACCCAGGCCACGAAGCCTGTGAGTCCAGGCCACGGCCCCTCTCTGGGAGGGAGGCGTGACCTCTAAGCAGGGGCGCGCGCCCTGAGGCGGGATCCCTTCCTACCCTTGGCCTTTGAAGTTGGAGGAAGCCAAGAGGGGCCGAGGGAAGGCGATGCTGGCCAGCAGGGGGCGCTGCGGCTAACGCTCCAGGTGAGAGGGCCCCGAGAAGGTGAGGCCCTCCTGGGAAGATTCGGAATCTTCTGGTGGCCACGGAACCAGGTGACCTACCCCCGGCTGCGAGGAGGGGCGAGGAGGGGCATTTGGAGCAAGAGTCTGAGACACCCTGGCCGCCGGGGCAGCACACCCAGGGTCCCAGGGATCTCAGGCCCAGGTGACCAGAAGAGCTGGGCTTGTGAGCTTAACTGGGGTCTTCTCATCTGCCCTAAACGCTTTATCTGGGGATGCCCTTAGCTTGTCTGCATTGCTCCTAACGGTGGCAAATGAGAGATTTTCATTGTTTCTAAACCCACGTCCCCACAGCCTAGAAAATCTTGTTCCCCTTCACCTCCAGGCTTTAGGTGATGAAAGTGGCTGTTGTTCTTTTCACTTTATGGGTAGAAATTTACGTTACAATGTCAAACATGCCTTCTTAAGTACATAAGTACCTCCGCGTGCCCCTCCCAAATCCCCCGCCCCCGCCTCTCCATTGACTTCTTTGTCATTACAGAAACTTCTGGGTGGTGGTAAAAATCTTCCTTAGAAAGGGAAAGCTGCCATCATAAGCTGGGACAGAAAGGGCGGTGAATACTTGGGTTGGGGGAAGCTGTGGTTCTGGGCCTGAACTCAGGGACGCCTGAGACCGCTCAGTACTTTTGTTAGAAGATGCTAGAACACGCACCATTCCCCCCCAAAGCATTCTGCATCACCAGGACCCATTTTCCCTTACTTGGATCATCATTCTAACAAAGGCACCCCCTCCCCAGCCCAGAAATTGGCGGAGGCCACATCAGAGTGGAAAAGGGAAGCTTTCTTGGAGCCTCGGTTTCCTTATTTGTAAAACAGCAAAAGGAATGCTTTCACCTCCACATGATAAACTGGCAAAGATTTCTCTATCGAAGGAGAGATAAATATCATACACAGAGCGTCCAGCATGTGTGGGTGCAGAATAGAAGGGGCAGCTATTGTTGTTTATTTAAAAGCTACCCTCTGGTTCCCTTGGCTACGTTTAGTGTTTATTTTATTTATTATTTAGTATTTATTTTACAATGTAATGCCAACGCTGGAAAAAGACAAGTCTGATCTATGGTGACAAAAAGTCAATCAGTTGTTGCCTGAGGCGGGACATGGGGGTGGGGATTGACTAGAAAGGGGCCAGAGGAAGCTTTCTGGGATGACGGGAATGTCCTTTGTCTTGACTGGGGTGGTAACAGAGACATCGCGACATCGGTCAAAATTCACTGAATGGTGGCCTGAAAATTAGGGGGCGTTTTAAGTTAGGGCTCAGTGAAGTGGAGTGTGGCTCTTCTCATTGCAAAAGTAGTACTCGCTGATGGTTGAAAATTTGAAAAAGACAGAAAAACCCAAGAGGCATAAGTTTGAAACCTAGAATATCATGGCTGAATCATGAGCTATTTCTGCTCGGGTAAATTTCTTCCTCAGACTTTTAAAAAGTATATATTTATCTTTCCAAAAAACCAGCATTTGAATCACCTCCTCCTTCCCCCCTCTTACTGTGAGTGTCTCCCAGGGCGTTCAGCCTCTTTTTAAAAAAATTTTTTTTAATGTTTTATTTATTTCTGAGAGAGAGTGAGAGACAGGGTGAGCAGGGGAGGGCCAGAGAGAGAGGGAGACACAGAATCCGAAGCAGCTCCAGGCTCTGAGCTGTCAGCACAGAGCCCGACGCGGGGCTCGAACCCATGACCGTGAGATCATGACCTGAGCCGAAGTCGGACGCTTAACCGACTGAGCCCCCCCGGGCGCCCCCGTTAAGCCTCTTTTACAGCCCCTTCGCCGCTGGCAGATCTGAGTGGAGTGTGCGGTCCGTCCCCTGCTGTCGGACATTCGGGCTGTTTCCGGCCTCCTCTCTCACAGCCCGTGCGGGACGGAATCCCCGAGACACACCTGTCACACGCGTCCACTCTGAGAAGGGGACTCACGGGCCGCATGGTCTTTCTTCCCAGGTAGGACCCTGTCCACGCACAAAGCCGGAGGAGGGTGGGATGTGGCGGCTTTCTACTGGAATTCGAGAAGCTACCCGGTCCACACCTGAAGGAAGACACACGTCCTCTGGACTTCTTTCGGTGAGTCTGAGGCCGTTTCAGTCACAGCCGCGGCAGCTACCCAAGGACCAGCGGTCGTGGAGCTGAGGGCTGCACGCGGCTTCTGTCCCGCAAAGCAGGCCTGCGCCCCCCCCGGACAACGTCGCCCCGGACAACGTTTGGACCCGTCAGCGCATCCGCGTCTAAGAAATGCGAGAACGTGGGAATGTCCCAGAGGGAAAGAAAAGAAAACGTAGCCTCGCAGGAAAAAAACGTGAACTGTGCTCACAGTGGCGTCTCCGACAGCCGTAGCTTCGCAAGATTGACACCGGACGGTCCCGGAGCCACTGAGTGGGAACACTCGTGACGCCGCAGCCCCCCGGCCGGCGGGACAGCAAGGCCCCCACCCCGGGGTGCTGCCCGGGCTCCGCTCCGGCACGTATTTCTTGGTTTACTTATCGCTCTGTCATCTGTCACCTCCTGGGACACGTCTCCGTCGAGTGGGTGGCTGTGTCTGCGGGGTTTGCAGCCGCGCCCCTCGGTGGCCTGAGCAGAAGCGAGGGGTCGAGGAGGAGCACGCGGGCCATTGAAAGCAGGCGGGGTGTCCATGCGGCCATGAAAGCATTGGCGTCGTCCACTTGTCTGTCTTCTGGCACTTCCTGTCCGTCCTTCCTTCCAGCCTTCCTGGCTCCCGCGGTGGCCCGAGTGCGCCGCGCTCTGCCAGCCCTTCCCGAGCCCTTCTGACGGGCCAGACCTCAGGCCTCGGGCCTCCCCTCGCCCC